GGTCACTCAGAGCTCCCACATGGGATAGCAATAGTAGAGAGACCAACGCTGGCATTTGAGCCCAGTGTATTAGAGAAATAAGAAACATAGAAAAGAACATAGAAAACTCATGTTCCACCTTTAATCCTTGATTTTTTGTCTATTATTTTATCCTTTTTTGGTTTATTATTATACAAAGGTGATAATAAATACTTCCTCTGTTTATCTCATGGGGTTTTCGTGATAATCAAATATTAATAAGAGCATCTCAAACTGTCATAGATACTTAGGCTTTCAAAGCTGTTTCACGTATACTGTACCACATTTTATTGATCACTGCCCTATATCATGAGGGGCAGGGTCACAAACCCAAATGCAGTATGGGCCAGGCAGGTAATGTGGGTGAAGCTTTTAGCTGGCACACCTACTCTCACACATTTATTTAAAGGCAGAGCCAGAACACGGCCCTGGAGTTTCAGCAAACAGGAACATAGCCCAATGGCCTGATCGGTTGTTCAAAAGAGGCTGGGAATCCAGATCTTTTTATATAAAATTTCTGTAATTTTAAATGGTGGCAAGTAATTAAAAAAAACCAAACATTAGTCATCCAAGCAAACCATGTCTGTAGGCCAGACGTGGTCCACAGGCCGCTAGTTTGCAACTTAGCAACAAAGTATCTACCTCGGTTTATCCCCGTTTTATAAAGGAAGAAAGTCTCAGAAATAAAATGACTTGACCAAGGAGACCAGGCTAGCTAATGGCCAAGCCAGACTTCACGGGTGGTCTTACTGTGATTTTTCTACTCCTCCATGGGTTAATAGAGATGACAAGGAACTATAAAGCCCTGTGGAAAAAGAAGGCCCCACCCGTGTAACAAATAATATGAAATTGCTGATGGCCATTCCCATCACTGATGAGATGAACCCCAAGGCCCCTCAGTGGGAAGCCATCATGGGGGAAGCCATCATGGGGGAAGCCAGCGGTGCCCTACCTGCTGGCTCCTGGGCACGCCGTATCTGAGATTGTTGACGAAGTGCTCACAGTTCCCTTCAATCAGGCTATAATGCACCATCTTGTTGATCATCTTTTTTGTACGCTGGATGATCTTGTCCACGGGCAGTGGCAGGTATGTCCCATCCAGCTTGTTGTTAACCTTCCAGGAGCAGCCATGCAGCACGTCCTCCAGACGACTGTATTTTACAATAGCCCGGTTGCTGAAGATGGAGGTGATGCTGCCGGCCTCAAAGTCCTCACCTAGAGGCCGAAGGCGAACAGAAGTCGGAAAGCTGTAAGGGGCAGCGCGGGCAGAGCACAGGCTCACTGTAAGATGTTGGGTAAGCTGCTTCCCTTTGGGGCCTCAGTTTCACCATCCGTAAAAGGCATGGCAGAGGATGGAGGCTAGAATGAATGAACTGCAAAGGACTAGCATTCCCAAGAAGCCTCGGCCTGCACTGCACTCCTCACTTCCAAGCCCCACAGCCACCTCTTTCTTATAAAATTCTTA